TCTCATTGCGTAACGTGAATCACGTAAGAAAAAATACAAATTGAATTCATACTGAAAAATCGGTACAAACAACAAGGTCATACGAATTGGCAGAAACTAATCAATAACATAAGAAAGTTAAAACGCTATGTTATTGATTAGCTTCTGCCAATTCTTTTGACCTTGTTGTTTGTATCGATTTTTCTGTAGAAAATTCAATTTGTATTTTTTCTTACGTGATCCACGTTACGCAATGAGAGGCAGCAACTGAAGAGCTCTCTCGAAATGTCATGGATCCAATAAATCTGGCTGTTTTTGCCATCTTTAAAGCCTGTACGTTTATTATGTGACATGGATGCGAAGTCTAAAAAATGTTCCGAAGCAAAATTTGCGGTTTCCCAAAGGACCCTGCATAAAGCAATAGAAATAACATTTGAAAATCTGCATCCACGCAAAAGACTGAACTCACTCGTCAGATCAACTTTGAAACCAAATTCATCTGTGATGCAGGAGGGCCGAGAGACATTACGAAACGCTTGGTCATGCCCTACCTTGCCATTAGCGGATTCCTCAAGAAGGCTGTTTTGTTCGGCATCCTCTGTTGAGGATGATGAGGACTGGCTCGTATGCCTGTGAGGACGTATGTTTGGTCGCATTGTCTGAGTGAGAGCGGAAAATGGAACGGGAAGGCTCAACTCCCGAAAGTCCTCCGGTTCGTGGATTCCTTCATCATTATTGTCTGAGGGTGGTGATGATGACTCAAAGGGTGGTTCAATAGAACCATCCCGTTTCGTAGGCGACAGCTGATCATCCTCTTTCGTTTGAATATCCATTAAAGACTAAAGACCCCACTGGAGCGCCTACGTCTATACAAATACAGAAATAAAGAACGTAAAATTGGGCTTCCAGTACAAGACAGCTATCACCATCATAAGAGGGAACGTCCATAATGAGGAAATAAACGTCTCAGCAGCACTTAGTTACGAGTCAGTCTACAAAAATAAAAATATAATGGCTTGAATGCCTTTTAAAGAGTCAAGAGCATTCTTTTCGCGGTAGAAAATCCAGAATTTGTTTAGGATATAAGGTGAAAGGCCCTGTCGCATATTGGCAAAGTGTTTGATGCTTGGACGGACGGACGTTTTCAACGGTCGATGAGTTACAGAGGAAGGTAGTAACCGTGGTCAGCGAATGATATGGATGAGTGACAACTAAGGAATAGGGCACGGTAAATGAGGTTGGATACTGGAAAAATCGGGTAAACTATCCAGGTCCGAGTTTATCCAGGGGCGGAGAAGCTCCTGTTTAAATCTGCTTATAAATTATAGGTGACGAGAACCCGAGACTGAGACAATTCCGAGCACCAGTACCAGGAAAACTACGAAGCTCCGGGCCGTGAAAAGGTTAAAAAAAACACTAATCTGCGACCACAGTATATCATGTAAAAGTGTTCCCGACGATCTAGTTTCAAGGCCTGGGCTAGCCCCAAAAAAGTCAGCATCCGCAGGATATCTAGGACAATGAAAGTACTCGAAAAGGTGGCTACGGTTAGGGTGGCACCGAGCTTAAGCCCGCTTGAACGATTAGATCCAGCAAAATCCCCTTCCTTTGATTTTGCTTGTAATGGTGAAGTGCAGCGTGTCATTGTGTCATTGCCTTCCTTTCAAAAACTACCTCAAAAAGTTGCAAACAACTTTCAGATGTAGATAGCGGGAACAAGTGCATTCATTGACCTCCACAGTAACATTGAGAATATAAGAGGTATGAATCTCTACTGTTACAGTTATATAGCGTTTAAAAGATATAGTCTTCTTTAAACAATAAATTGTTTGAAAAAAAAACATATTTTTTATTTCGACCCCAGCAACAATTGGG